ATTTCAAGCTGTGTGGGTAATGTTGATATTTTGAGCATGTAATGGGTTGACTGAGATTCCCTATAGGTGATTTTTTGCTGATTTATGTGTTCCATTATTTCTTGAACGGATTTGTTTTCAATGCAGCAACTCACTCTGATTTAAACTTATCCAGTTTAGTGAAATCCATGGCAGGTTGCATCATGGTGGGACTATGGTTACCAAACCACCGCTATGGCTAATCGCACTGTTATTGTTGACAATAATACCTGGAATAATACTCATATTGCGACTGTTGGTACTGCAATGTCTTCTCCTGAAAAGGCTGCTTGGGAGATTTTCCACTCCTTGGACGTCAAATATGTTCTCGTCGTCTTCGGAGGTATGGTTTTGTTTTTGTATACATGAATATACAATGCCTTAATATATTATCTTTCTGACAATTTACTTCATTCATTAGGTCTCGTTGGCTACCCCAGTGATGATATTAATAAGTTCCTCTGGATGGTTCGAATTGGAGGTGGTGTCTTTCCTCATATCAAGGAACCTGATTATCTGGTAAATTCTCTGTGCTGACATTGCTTAAAACATTCACCCTTGTTCCATCTATTCGGTCTTTTCTTCCTTTTTCTAGGTTTTGATGGTTGTCTTTAATTGAAAGTTAAACGATAAAGATCCTATTTTGTCCAGAAAAATATCCTTATTAAGTATGACGATACCTAAAATTCCTTCCTAACTTGGTTATTTTACTTCGTTGTCTACAGAGAGACGGTCAATATCGAATTGATTCCCAGGCCACTCCAACCATGCTAAATTGTCTCATGTATAAACTCTCGTATTACAGGTCTGGTCCTGTTAACTTTCGACTTAGAATATATGTATTTGGTTTTTTGGCCCGTTTTGTTTGGAGCAGAAGAACTTCATCCCTTAATTTACATATCTGCAGGTTTGTTGAAACTGATGGCAAAGCCTATGATAAAGTTAGGCGGACAGAGATCGGAAAGAAATATTTTAAACTCACTCATTTTGAGGAGGTTAGATTATCCTAATTTATGCTTGCTATTTAAATAGCAACTGCAGATCATGGAACATTTCCAATAATATATTTTTAAAATAATTCCATATGGCCGTGAAATGTGAAAACTTTATCTTCGTCAAATTCTTTCATACTGGACAATGAGCATTCCCAGGATGTTGATATATATAGCTTTCTACTAATTCCCCCCCCCCCCCGGCAAAGTACTCCTTTCTGATAAATATTCGGACGAAAATAATATCTTATAATTTTGAGTCTAGGTAACATAGCATGATGAATGAGTTTGATTAATCCCGCTCTGTTTTAGTGTTTTCCTTTTAAGATTTCTCTTATTTTGTTCATTTTAGGTATTCACAACCCATCATTGGATGGTTCGGATATATAAACTGAAGGCTCCAAAGAACAGGATTCGAGGAAAGACAAAGAAATCAAAATCGGTATGTATAATCTATAGATTATCCCAACGATCAATGATTCCACACTCACATATGCGAACTATAGATTCTTTTGCATGCCGAATAATATAGTCTGATGTTTACCTACACTTTACTTTTACGTTTCGGCAGAAAACTAGCTCATCAAGCAGTTCAAAAACAAGTGGAACAAAAAAGAAGAATCCGTGGCACTAGGAAACACAATATTTATAACAATGGTGGGAAATTATCTGTAAGTCGAATAGAATTGTTCGTTCTCCGAAGAAGTCATTGAGATTTTGCTTGGTAGCAAGAATGAAAAGAGCCAAGGGCCAACATTTCTTACTCTTTTCATCTTTCCTGCAAAGACTGAGTTTGATTATTCCGGCTATCTTAGGTGATTTTTCTTAAAGAAACACAAACAGTGCAAGTCAAAACGATTTTGCATGCTTCACTTGACCTGTTTTGTAGTCTGTAGTGTACTTCATCATTATGCATAACGCATCAGTTTTCAGGGAACGAAAACACAGGCAAAATTTGCATTTTGCTGGTTCAGATAATGGCAGTGGTAGGGTTGTTTATGGTTGGAATCGGTCAAGTTCGGGTATATTATGAATATCATATATCTTTTTTGAATAGTATGAATACTCCCTCCGTCCCATAATTTGTCTTATGTTGATTATACACATATATTTGATCAAGGAAAATGACAAAATTATCTTAAAAGTTGAGTGATAGACTCGATTGATTTGTTTGAATTATAAATTTTAGTGTTTGTTGACTATTCTAAAGAGGACATTTTCAATGGGACATTTTCAAAAATCAAAAGACACACATTTATTAGTACAGTTAGTATTATATGATCGTCTAAATCCGGCTTATTTAGAAAATTTGGATTCCAAATTGTCAGAAATCACTTTAGGCTAACCTACGTAAAATATAGTATTTAATGGGGTAAATGATGATATCATCAGTTTATTAAAAAAATATTTTTATAAAATGACGTGGGATAATGTTGACAGAAGAATGATAGTAATATACTTTTTAATATTATTAAAATATTTCCGTTTGTTTAAAAGCATGGATATTGATTCTTTTAATCAATTTTAAAAAGTGATTGATCCCCAAAATTTCAACGTGTAAGACCGCTAGCACTTGGATCGCTAACTAGCAATCGCCTCATGGTTGGAATAAGAAACCTAATGTAATATAAGAAAAAGTTAATCATGTTGGTTCGACTCTTCTTTCTATTTCAAGTGTTTCTGTGTGATATATTTAGGCAGAACTTCCTCCAAATACATAGCAGACTAAGAAAAAAAAAGAATATTATTATATCTATAGAGATGATATTCATATCCAATACACACTTAAACTTGAGCAACATAAATGTTACAAAATTCTTTACCAAGGTCTAAAAAAGAAAGAGAGATGACAAAACAAGGACGGACACATGAATTCATATTTAAGGGGACAGTTGAGGCGGCAACTAACCTTCGATCGAACTTAGGACGCCTTCCATCGCTTCCTTTAAAGAGGGGTTATTAGATTTAGCCTTAGAGACCTTGTTGTGTATCACATACGGGGCCGCTCTGTTTCTAAGTGTGGCGGGTATCCTAGTGTCATCTAATCCTTGAGGGTGGAGGAAGAATTGGAACGCTTTTCAGAAGAGAAGCTCAGTACCGTGTGAGAATTAGAGTTTAACGAGGAACCCAATATTCTCCCTTCAACACCTAATGAATTATCAAACATATGATTGTTATTAGAAATAAATTGAGAGCCATTAAGATTGACCATCAAGGTGTTCGATGGGCTAGCCAAAGAACCCAGAGAAGGAGAAACATTGACAGCAGTGACTTGGGAAGGCCTGCTGTTGCATGTGTCGCGTTGCATGGCTGAAGAATTAATACCATCAAACATAGAATCATTTAGGCTTAACTATTTTTTATTAAATAAGATTTTAAACTATTATATATAATTATTTTAAGTTTTATTACTAATTACTTATTTTTTATTTTTTTCGTTTGCATTTTCATCTTTTCAATTTTGTTCAGAAAAAAATAAAACCATTAACTATCTAACTAATCATTAAATTTACCGAATTATTATAAAAAATATATATTTATTAAAATCTTGTGCTTATTATAATATTATATTAAATTTTATAACAATTTGATAAACATAATAATTATTTGTAAAGTTTTTAAAAGTTTAATAAATTTCAATGTACTAGGCCCAGATAAAAAACTAATGGGGGAAGACAAGCAAGATAGGGGACACAATTGAAAGAGCAGCAAGCAGCAGGCAGCAGGCAGCAGCGCAGCAGCACAGCAGCATGGTAACCCAACACAACCTGCCCTTTTTTATTCTCTCTGGCTTTCAATCATTTGCACGAACTAATTAACTTTTAAAAAAATTGTTTACATTCGATATCAAATAATTCCGAGTTATCTTAGAATATATTACGTTTTACTTCTCCATATTAATAAAAAGTAACTTTTAACATTTTTTTCCTTCAGACCCACTAAAAAATTTAAAGTTTTGTTTTAGCTTGATTTTATGGTTCATAGTTTTATATATATTATATATATAGAGAGAGAGGGATATGATCCAAATACACCACATCAAACTTTTTAATTTTACATAGATTTAGAGTTTTTATATAATTGAAAGATTAAGGTAGGAGATGAAAAGATGTTCACCGAGAAAATCACGTTAATGTCATATGTCAATTTTTATTTATCGAAGTCTCAGTTGTGTAAAACTAGTAAAAGTTGTATAAGTAGATTTTAACCCATATATATATATATATATGGCTATTCCTACACGTTTTATCACCTTGGTGAGAGCTATTCCTAGAGATAAAAACCACCCTGTGTTCTTCCCTGAAGCATTTGGTATCGATGGCTTCAAATCCTTTGATGTGGGTGCCGAAATCCGAGGGCCAAAACATTTCGAGGGCCAGAAAATTCATGAGGTCGCAATGCTGATGGCGAACTGGTATAATCAACTGGATCCAATGTGAGTGAGAAACTAGTGCAGTCAAATGATAGATGTGACATGTCTTTGGGATTCATAACAAACCCTGCTTTCTCAATCAGATTCTGACTTTCTCTGGCAATTTCCGGTCTCGATTTCCTTCCTTCCTACGATAATATCATGTTTGACATGTAAAATCGGGATATATTACGTAACAATGAATTGTACCCAAAAAATACATAACAATGAATGAAGCACGTTAGAACAGCTAGCATTCTAAACCCTTGAAGCATCAATCAACACCTGGTACGCAGGTTATATGTGTTTGACTGAAGATAGTGGTTAATAGAATTTCCAGCCCTCTCAAACACCTCCAACAGCAGCAGTGCAGACTTCTTTTCCTTCTCAAGTAACTTCGGGCTGTAGTTTCTACCCCTTAGTCTAACCTCTGAATCAACCAATGCCTGGAGGTCGTCATTATGCATTGGCGAATGGCATTTGAACTCAAGTCATTGCTTCCAAGGGGTGTGGTTACAGTTAACTTTTTCGAAGCCACCATTAGAAGTGAAGCCTGTTCGATGAGCTTTCCCTCCCTTACCAAATTACACCCAATGGCCTCAATCTCCTCAGTTTTGCATGCAACCGACCTGATGCTCTCCAAGTACTCTTTCTAGCAGATATGGAATTAAAAAAGCAAAACATAATTGCTTAAAATAAAATTCTTAAAATGAGCAGAATTGGGAAAACAAATAACAAAAACAAACCAGCTGCGGTAGGCATAATATACTAGCTTGAAGCTCCATTTTTCGGGAGTCCAACCATTCAAACAAGGGTGACGGCTGTATGAAGAATACAAGTAAATCAACAGGAAGGAAAATAACAATTCAAGAGCATAGTAACACGAGAGAGATCCAAGCAGAAATCGGAAACTGAAATTCATAATGTTAACAAATATAATGGGACAGGACAAATTAACTTTTACCACGGTTTTTCAAGAGATACTTTGAGTGACAAAGAACCCTTAGCATCATCCTCATTATTTAGTATTGGGATGGCCTGCAGAGTCGGCGGCTGGTTGGACAACCGAGGAATCCGTTTTATGTTTTATAAGATGACTAAGCACATAATCAGCTAGGTCTGATCATGTAATAAGACTAGACACCGTATACAAGCTTTAAACAACACGTTAATCAAACATAATACCATTTTTTTCTTACCATGGCATCGGCATCATGTTTGTAAATCCTTGTAGTCCCACTCTCCAACTTCATGGCTTCATATAATTTCCATTCTACAGTGAAAAGCATAGTGTTGTAAATATTACATATTATTTCCTTCACGATCTAAGTGAAAAATGATCCATCATCACTTGGATCATATCACAACCAGCCAAAACAAGGAACCGAATGCAACTTGTGCAGCCAATGTTTGGGCGGTCCAGTGTAATCAAAAGAGAATGTTTAGTCAAGAAAAAGACTAACTCAAACCCTAAGTGCACACCGCCACAAAACAAAAGCAGGGAAAAAAAGGTAGCTGTGAAACCACTCCCATTAAATTAAGGTCTTGAAAACGACAGACCTAGACATAATCTTTTGTAACTTACAAGCTACGATACCTCTTAAGAAGGGAAATAGGAGCATTGCAAAGAGCACACCTTAGTTACATATCCAAGATATGGCTTGATAAACTAAAAAGAAGAAGAAGCCTAGAATGTTGTTATTCTAAATATATTACTGAATATGTGATTGAAGACAAGATTTATATACATATAGTTGTCATCATCTAACTCGTATTCATAGTAATACATATTTGATATGTACTGCACATATTACCTTTTTAATAAAAACATAATGCAATAAAATAATCCTAACGTTTAACAGTATTGTCAAACTTACCCATTTTTGACCAAAACTTTCTCGGAGGATGAAAATCGTTAATCAACCGACGATCAACGTCTGATGCTGACCAAACACGTACACGTGGACAGAGATGCTGACGTAGCTTATCCAGCTCATGGTACATGATGATATGACATGTCTACGTGTGATGTCACATCAATAAATATTTTTTAAATCAATAATTTTTTTTTACTAAATTATTAACAACCAATCAAATATTGTCACATGACACAAGGGTTTTTTTTAATTAATTAAATTAGGAAATGAGGGATTAAACCTCCACCAAAAGATACACCCAAGGGGATTTGAACTTGGATATGGTGGATGAAAGGCTTAATGCCTAATCACAGGACCAACTCACTTAGATATTATTATTATACTAATAACAATATTGTCGAATGTTAGTGTTATTTTATTGCATCTTTAATAAATTTATATAATATGTTCATTTAGTTTTTAATTCATTATTTTCATTTCTTTCATTTTAATCTTAGATTTTTAAAAGAAAATATTCTATAAATATGTCAATTGTCAAACGTGCCCCTACAAAACATGTCTTCTTCAAAACATTTTCATACATTAAAAGGGTAAACTACGTATCTAGTACCTAAATTATTAGGTTTTATTCGTTTTAGTACTTAAACTTTAAAATTTTCAAAATCATACCTAACGTTTAATTTTTTTTATTTTAGTATCCATCGTTAAAAAATTAACGTGTTTAGTATCTAAACTTTAGGTGTAGTTTTGAAAAAAAATATTAAAAATTTAGATACTGAAACAGACCAAAACTGATAGTTTAGGTACTAAACACATAATTTACCCTAACTAAAAAAAATATGTGGCTTTGATGGTTTATTGGTTTAGATACTATTATAGTGAATTGTTGTCTTAGATATTATTTCCATAATATTCCCTAAAGTATGATGGCTTGTCCGGAGATTTCAAAATAAATGATTGTATGAGATTGTTTGATAATTGATATACAATGCTATCGAAAATGTTGCCAAGATTCCTCTGCTATATAAAAGCTATTTTTCCTTGAAAAATAGTTATCTCCTATAAATATGGATTTCTCTTGTTTCTCCATTTGTTCCAAGAACAAATCCTGATGTCCCGTTCAATGACTCCGTTCTCGCTCCTACTTCCACGTCGACTTTCTCTTCTCCACTGAAATTCATTATATTTGTGAGAACTAATCGCGTTTCTCCGGTGCATTTGTTTTTCTTTTGAGGAAAAAAAAGTTTATCAGAACGGTTAGTTTTTAAGGATACGATTGTCGTTTGAGGAGTTTCGGTAGTGCTACAATGTCTTCCTCTGATTCGCCTGAGATTTCAAAGCTTGAGATCATCGACGGTGATTATGTTCTTGAAGATGTTCCTCACTTATCAGATTACATTCCTGATCTTCCAGTAAGACATTCCTACTTATAAGTTATGCGCATTCGTAATTTCTCTTGATTTGAAGGCCTCGATCCCTGTTTCTCCGTCGCCAGCGACAGATTATAATTCTTAGATCGCTTTTTCATATCCATTTTCAATTGACTGATCGAAAATTAGTGTGGTTTCGGAATTTTTGAATATGATTTGATGTGTGTCGTTTCGTATGACAGACTTATCCCAACCCGTTACAAGACAATCCGGCTTACTCAGTTGTTAAGTAAGCTCATTTTTATAAAATTGTAGCCATTATTTTCCACGAATTTTACGTGATCTCTATTGTCAATTGTTGAAGTGCTTGCTAAACTAGTATCGATTTCTCTGTTTCACCAGGCAATACTTTGTTCATGTAGATGATAGCGTCCCTCAGAAGGTTAGCAGTCCTCAACTCCTCATATATTTTCAAATTTTAGTACTAAGTTTTTTTTGTTTATAATTAATGTTCTCATCTCTTCTCTATAGGTTGTTGTTCACAAGGATGGCCCAAGAGGAATTCATTTCCGACGAGCTGGAGCACGTCAAAAGGTATGTGTTTAAACTTACTATAAGCCTCTGAATTATGTTAAAATTATTTCATTGAGATTATGATACCCTCTGGATTGTGTTTTTGCAACAACGTGATGGACATTTGATTGTCGTGTAGGTATATTTTCAACCTGACGACGTTCATGCCTGTATCGTCACGTGTGGTGGCCTTTGCCCTGGACTCAACACTGTGGTTAGAGAGATAGTATGCGGCTTGCACCACATGTATGGTGTCAAGAAAGTTTTGGGGATCGATGTAAGTGATCTTTGGCCTCGACTTTGCTCTATATAGAACACAATTTTAAAATTTCTAATGAAGGAATCACATGTAAACAAGCTAAAAGAAAATTGAACACAAACAATAATCTATTCATTAAAGTTTGATTCATTTATAATCCTACTTTCATGATAGTACGGAAAGGCGTATTAGTAATTAACAAGTTCAATGCATTTGCAGGGAGGATTCAAGGGGTTTTATGCAAAAAATACAGAGTTAGATCTCAAGGTTGTTCATGTTCATAAATAAATTCATTTAGTTTAATTAAATGAATAGAAATATGATTATCTAAAAATAAATTCAGTTTATGATACAACTTTAAAATCCATAACGAGCAAAAACCAATTGCATATCAAAGCATAATAAAAGTTTATTGGTTCAAACTCGAAACCACTTAATGAGTTCGTTGCCCTTGCAGGGAGGATACAAGGGATTTTATGCTAAAAACACGGTGTATCTAAATCCCAAGGTTGTCAATGACATTCACAAACGGGGTGGAACAATCCTTGGTACATCACGAGGTGGGCATGATACAACAAAGATAGTTGACAGCATTCAGGATCGTGGAATTAATCAGGTTATTAAAAAAAATATTGTGATATTTATGATCCTTGGCCTTAATTAAGGTGAAGGGCAAGCAATTATATTGTCAAGAGAGGCCACCCTTGCTGACATTTGATCATCTGTGGTGACTCAGGTTTATATTATTGGAGGAGATGGAACTCAGAGAGGTGCAGCTCTTATATTTGAGGTGATTTCGTTCATCTTATTCAAATAACATTGATTGATTTGCAATTAGAATCGGTGCCTATTAATAAAAGAAAGTGTTTCCAACTTTACAGGAAATTAGAAGGCGTGGTCTCAAAGTTTCGGTAGCCGGAATCCCTAAAACCATTGACAATGACATTCCGGTAATCCTATTGCCTTGGACCTTGGATAGATTGTTTTAAGCACAAGCCTCATACGTATTGCAACCCGGTTCATTTGGTTACCACACAATCTTGATACTTCGGCAGGTAATCGACAAGTCGTTTGGCTTCGACACTGCAGTTGAGGAGGCTCAACGTGCCATTAACGCTGCTCATGTTGAAGCTGAAAGTTCCGACAACTGTATCGGTCTTGTGAAGGTGATGGGTCGTTACAGCGGTAAGTTTCTCTTTCAGATTCAAGTATGAGTGTTAGTTATGAGTATGTAGCTTACACGAGTATATTTTGTCCGAAAATGTAAACCTGTAGTGCAATCTAAACGCAACTTATGGGCAGGTTTTATTGCAATGCATGCGACTCTTGCAAACCGAGATGTAGACTGTTGCTTGATCCCAGAGTCACCATTTTATCTTGAAGGATCCGGAGGGCTTTTTGAATACATAGAGAAACGACTTAAAGAAAATGGTCACATAGTTATTGTGATTGCAGAAGGTGCAGGCCAGGAGCTACTTTCCGAGAGCATTCAATCCATGACAGATGCTTCGGGGAACAAGCTTCTCCAAGATGTTGGGCTATGGCTATCACAGAGGATCAAGGTATTATATGCGATAAGGACGGATCCTCCCTGAAAATTTTAAATTTCATATATTTTAGATATTTTCTCAATATTTTATATTAATTCATATATTTTAAATATTTTCTCAATATTTTATATTAATAATATATTTTCTCCCAAAATATAAAATATAGTAAATTAAAAATTTCATCATTGAACTTTATTTTCTCTCCTATTTTGCTCACCAAATTTTAAACGTCTTCAATTTCTTTACTGAACATAATACATTGGGTTTTTTGGTCACTGAACTTTACTTTATCTCCTATTTTAGTCACTTCGCCGTTAAATAGTTAATGTCTTTAAAAACGACGCCGTTTTAAAAAAAATATAATTTTCATCAAAATGACGTCATTTAAAAACAAAATTTTCATCAAAACAACATTGTTTTGCATCTATGTAACAACCACTTTATCGTTGTTAACTATTTAACAACCGAGTGACAAAAAAACTCAATGTATGAAGTTCAATCAGAAAATTGAAAAGATTTAAAATATAATAAGTGAAATAGAGGAGAAAGTAAAGTTGCCAATTTTGTAATTTTTCTTATAAAATATTACCATCTTTTGACTTTTTCATGTCATTTTCAGGAGTACTTTTCAAAACAAAGGAAGATGCCCATAAACCTCAAATACATAGGTTGGTAGAATAAATACATGTCATGAATGTTTTTGGTGTAATTTTTTTTTCATTTGAATTTTCTTCCGCCAGATCCTACGTATATGATTCGTGCTGTTCCGAGCAATGCATCTGATAATGTTTACTGTACACTTCTCGCTCAAAGTGCTGTCCATGGAACAATGGCGGGATACACTGGCTTCACATGCGGTCTTGTCCATGGAAGGCACACATACATACCATTCAACGTGAGTTCGTCCCAACTTTGCTGTTCCAGGCTCTTATTCATAAAACTCGTTTAAATATATGAAAAAAAATCATTAAAATTAATTTTATATCGTCACCAAGATTAGAGTCTATTTAATTTTCTTGTCGGGTTGTTTTATCTGCAGCGAATTACCGAGAAACAAAATAAGGTTGTGATTACGGATAGGATGTGGGCAAGGCTTCTTTCATCAACAAATCAACCAAGTTTTTTGAGTGCTAAGGATATCGTCGAAGACAAAACCGATGCAGGACAATAACTCCTTTGCTGGATTCGAGTTGAGCGTCGAACATTGATATATTTTCTGATAAAGGGTATCATAGCTACCGATATTTTTAGACTCTCGGAGCAATTTTTTTATTGCTCTTCTTTTCGGTCTTTCCTTTTCCCTACAGACATGGTTGATTGCTTTCTCGATTTCTGATTCCTTTGTTCGTTTATACAAGACGGTTTGTTGATTATCGTATATATGTGTCGGATGGGATTTCTGTTAAGGGGAGATCGCTTTTTTCGTTGGTCATTTTGATTATTCTTCACGTTTTTTTCCTCCATGACTAATGCTCAAAGCCGTTGGTGTTTTAGTTTATGTACATCGTTGTTTCACTTGTTAATAGTTTTATTTAATAGGTTATTTCTAAGTGATCATTGTTATATTTTATTTTCGATAGTCACAACTATATTTATTCAGTCTGTATTTGGTAAGGCGTTTGTTGATACGGTTTTCGATAAATAAAATATCTTGGTTATTTAAAAAAAATTAGTATATTAATAGGATAATTATAAATCATTTAATCAGAAGTAATTCAAATAATTAATACGAAAACATGATTTTTCTTATGAGGTTCCAATATGGAATCTCGAAAATTTGGACCGTTGTTAAGGTCTCATTTGCATAAATGGCACAATTTTTCTGAAAAAAAATAATTTATTCATTTTATAAAAATAATCATGCCAAAAGAATAATTAAATCAAATCAAATAATCGAGGAAGGTAAAAAATGTAAGAAAAATTCTTTGGAAATAGCAAAAAGTAAGTCATATCAACATGAGTACATGTTTTAGTCTCAAGAAGAATATAATACTTACAATACAAGGACAATAAATTTTATCATAGTTTAAGGATGATATATATAATAATTACGAATATTTATTAAGATGAGACAATTAACTTAAAAAGTTAATATGATAAATAAAAAATTAAAAAAATTAGACATCTACCGATCAAGGGGATATCGATAAATTCAATTCTAAAAAATAAAGTTTTTATGTTAATTTATTAATTATAAATAATTTGTATAATTATTTAAGTTCAAAGGTATTTAGAGAATATATTGACAAATTACTATTTGATCAAATGTATATATTGTAATTTAGGGTTACAGACCGCTTCGGGATAAATATATAAATAATAAAAATTATTACTCGGAAAACGCATAAAAGTAAAAGAATGTGCCCTGGTCTTCAATTTTACCATTAAGCTCAAGAAAAACAACAATTGGGTGTTCAATTTGGCCGTGAGAAAAATAAGATTCAGATCCAGGAAGAAACAAGGTAGAAAAGAAGGAAAGAGATGGGAATCAGATTCATATTAATGGTGAACAAGCAAGGGCAGACTCGTCTCGCCCAGTACTACGAATGGCTCACCGTCGAAGAACGGCGTGCCCTCGAAGGCGAGATCGTTCGCAAGTGCTTGGCCCGCAACGAGCAACAGGTTATAATATTTAAAGAAAGAATTACATGTAAATATCCTTTTTAGAGAAGATACGTGAGTCCATGAGTTTACTCTTTTCTTTTTGCAATCCGTGTTTCATATTTTCTTGTTGGGAATTATCTGTTGGCGATTTATTAGGTTTTTGGAATTTCCAGTTTTGAACTACCTTCAAATTTAAGGCTAGAATGCTAGTAAACTCAGAATTCATACTCTATCTATACATTTTCAGCTATTAATTTGCTTAAATTGTGACAGTGTTCATTTGTTGAGCATCGGAATTACAAAATTGTATACAGGCGATACGCTTCGTTGTTTTTCTTAGTTGGAGTTGACAACGATGAAGTAAGTTCCATTTCTTTCCTCATTTTTTTCCCTATGGTCATGTTGGTACTTGTTGATGTCCTTTGAGGTCGAGGTGGATGCCGCAATTGTTGATTTCATTTTGATTTGAACAAGACTTAAGCTATATATATTTTCCAGTGTGCTTATTGCTCGCCCACTTGTATTCATCTTTATCCTGCTCTTTTCTTCAATGTGGCAGAATGAGCTTGCAATTTTGGAATTTATACATCTCTTAGTAGAAACCATGGACCGCCATTTCGGCAACGTGGTAAGTTCTCCCCCTAGCAGATGTATTAGTTTCAAACCCTCAAATTGACTGGAATCGAGTATTTGCGTCTTTTACTGATAGTTTTCTCTTTGTTTATCAAAATTTATTGCAGTGTGAGCTAGATATCATGTTTCATTTAGAGAAGGCGCATTTCATGTTGGAGGAAATGGTTATGAATGGCTCTATTGTTGAGACAAGCAAGGCTAATATTCTATCCCCGATTCAGCTTATGGAGAAAGCAACGTGAGGAACGAAAGGGGTTAGTTAATTTCTCAATAGAATATCATGATTTTCTTTGAGAATCCTGGCAAATTGGTTGTTATTTTCTTGTTCCTTTTATGTATTTTATTCTCCCTTTCCTTTTCTATATACTTCAACATTCAGAATTTAACAAGTTGTGCAATAAACTATATAGAAAACAAACTGTGGACAGTTTTCTCCTTACTGTATCGTATACAGTGTTTGCTTGTGCCTTAGCATTATGGTAGAGGGGGCTTAGTGACATTTGATTACTTGTTGAAATTGGAAGAAAATGTCAGTTTACACCCTAGCGGCCTAGCCTTACACTTGTTCGTGTTTGTACCAACTAACCATACATCAATATTCACTCTTGCCTTTAGTCTCACAATAAATATTTGCATCAGTCTTATGGATTCTAGATTCACAGTGGTGATTCTGTATTTCTGTTCCCTAAAGGTAAAGACATAAAAAGGTGTATTGCTTTGAAAAATTGATACGTAGAAAGTTACTTGAGAATCCTATGATCCTTGTGTATTTATATGGGAAGCTTGCTTCTTGATCGGAAATACAGTGTTAATTTAGTCACCCTTTCTGTTATTCTTTCAATTCTCGCTGACCCTTTCTACCCCCTCCCTGAGGGGGCAGCCCTCCTCTTGAGAGGTAGATCAGTCTTCTGCCCAAACGCCCAGATGTGCCTACCCATCCGCACAAAATATCAGTGATTTAAAATACTTTTGCTGCTTTTTGTCGGAACTTTCATCGAAAAAAATTCTCTGTAGTAGTGAATCATCTGCACAAGGAATTGATATCCAAACTTATCAGACTCATAGCATATGTAGGGGTGATCATCGTTCATATGTTTGCCTTTGTGTGTACGACATTATATACTTTAGGTCACTTTTCTTTTCCCCTCTGTTTGATCATTGGAAGAGGCAAATTAATTCCAAAGGGCCCGGTTTGGGTCAAATCGATCTGGTCTCAACCTAAACAGCCTCGAATGGGCCTCGAAACTTTCAATAAGAAGCCAGCCCATCTCACCTAAACCCCGTTCTTGAAAAATCGACCCACAATGTAAAATCAAATTGAATCCAGACAAATTCAAAAAGAAAAAAAACCATAATCCTATATAATCCATGTACAAAAGAAACCTCGAACCTTTGCAGTTGGCATTGCCCCACGTAGTAGTTTTAGACTGAATCAATACTCTGCTTAACATCATCAAAAGCAAGAAAAAGGGGGTTATATTTGAGTTCAGGACGATTTGTCTTCAACTTTAAAAAAATAGAGTCCATACAACTCACTTTGTTAGCTCAAACTTCATAAATAAGGCACACGTTTAAGCACGTATGGTCATAGGAATTTATGGCAGGCGTACGAACATAAAAATTTAGAGGGCGCGAGATTATTAAATCTTAAGGGTGTGAAATTAAATAAAATACTTAAAATATAAATAAAATACTTAAAATATAAGGGATGTAAATTTTCTAGGGGTGCGACCGCACCTTAGCACCCCTTGGATCCATTCCTGCTTTCCTGCTTTCCTGCTTTAAAGGTCAGAGACACTGCAAGAAGCAAGGCATTAGAGTTCACTTCACATGCAATGCTTAGTACTCGAGTGAAATATGGAGCCCCCATATTTATTGCTTTTACAACTTGTGGTGGACGGCATTTGGCTGCAATTGTTTATAAATTAAGATCATGCTTTAAATGGGTAGGTTTTGTTGCATGATTTAGATTCTTTTCGTGTTGTTATATTTACGTGGGGTCTCGCCCTTTATCAATGGGAATTGTTATATGATTTTCACAGGTCAATTTTCTTATTTGGGTGGAGGCTGGGATAATTATTAAACCAGGAAATTTAATGTAAACTAATCATCTTTGCTATTTTTATTATTTAAATATTTATATCCAATATACTTTTTTCTATTTTTATTAGTTATCGAAGGCGTATACAATAGCATGATTTTTCGATTTTATAAAATTTGAATCGAATCGAATTTATGTTTAAATTAAATTGTAAATATTTATAATATTGTGGTATTATTTTATTCCAATTGAAATAATATTTTCTATACACATATATATCATACATAGTTGAGGGAATCGAGTTAAATTTAAAAATTAATCCACTAATTATTAAATTTTATAACTCAATTTGAACATAAAATTTGAGTTGAAAATTTTTAATTTTTTAAGTCGAGTCGAATTTTACTCATCCAACTCCAACATTTAACGATGAGGAGTTCTTTGGCAATCGAAATCAAGTACTCCGCTTTTGTCAAGTTGAAACGTTTTTATCTGTCTTTTTCATTTGGACATCTATTGGAGTGTGTACTCGGTCAGTTCCATTTTTACATATTTAAAATGAAATAAAGAATTAAATTAAAAAATGAATAAATTGGATAATTTCATAGTCAAAATTAAAATTATTGAACTGGACTTCTTCTTAATCGAATTGAAATAACCAATTAAATTGACAAACCAATTTCATGGTCCTTTTAGTTTTTTAGGGAAAAAATATTTATAAAATAAAAGGTTATTAATGTTTTAACCAAATTTAATTACATTGATATTTAAATTTTAATATATTATGTATTAGCACATAAATGAGTATTCATTACAATTAATTGGAAGGGGTGGATTGCACAATTTAGACTTTGATGTCTAGGATCAAGTAGGGCTGTAAAAGAGACGAGACAGATCGTGAGTTACTCGAGATCGACTCGATCAAGGCTCGATAAATACTCAGATCGAATGGACTCGACTCGAGTTCTTAACGAGCCGAAACGAGCTATTCGATATTTGACTCGAAAAACTCGTGAACAGCTCGAAAATATTATATATTAAGATTTTATTTTTTTAAAAATAAATTATTAATATTATTAATATTTATGTATTGATTTTTTTTAAAAATACAGTAAGATTTCATGTATTTAAGGTTCATGTTCAAGTTTGAGGCTTCAATCGAGTTAAGTTTAAGAATTTTTTTTTTCATTTTGAGCCTTTTCAAGCTGCTCACAAGCTTCAATTAAGGATTTCGAGTTCGAGTCGAGCTTGAAAATTTTAAGCTCGCGAGTTTTCGAGTCGAGTTCCATTTCAAAGTTTTCGAGTCGAATCGAGTCGAGCTTAGCAATACTCGAGCTCGACTCGGCTCGTTTACACCCCTAGGGTCAAGAAAATAATTAAATAATAACTTATTTATATGTATTAGTTACATTTTGTGGTAAAGTATACAAATGATTTTTTGATTATAAGATATTATTTTATTGACTAACCTAACTATTAAAAGTTACAAAATGATCTATTGATTACAACATGTTGTTTTGTTGAGTCACTTGACTATTTAAAAGTTACAAAATGATCACTCGATTATTTATTATATTATAAACTCGTATTTTCTGTTAAAAAATTAACAATAGTTTGAGCATGATGTTAATTCTTTGTTTGAAGTATGATACTCGTTTAAGATTCTAGGATCATAGTTTATCATATCTTAAACAAAAATTAAATCTAATTTAGACTATCGTCAATTTTTAACAGAAAATGATAAACTTAAAACATAATAAACAGTCGAATGACTATTTTATAACTTTTTATATTCGAATAACTAAAAAAATCAACATCCTATAATCAATAAATCATTTTATAAATTTTAATAATCGAAGACTTCACAACACAATATTTTATAATTAAGAGACTATTTGTATATTTTATCTTACATTTTATCAATAAAATTTTATTTAGTTGACTAGTAATATCCTATAAATGCAGTGTTTAGATCTTTGGTATGTTAAGCTGAGAGACGGTGGCGATGCATGTAAAAAAAATGGAAGACGGTGATTAATTCTGACAGAAAAACGACACGTGGAGATCGTCGGCCTGAGGTTGGGCGTGGAGTGGGGAATTTTCTCGTACAGCAAGCTTCTCATTGCGTTTTTGTCGATACATGATAGGATCTATCATCGTCACCATTTGCCACGTGTACGTTCGATTTTCTTTCTTTCTTTTTGTCTCGTTCTGCTCCTTTGGATTCTGTAAAGCCAGTCACTGATCATCTGATTCAACGTGACAGTGTAGGGGTATAAGCGTAAATTAACCAGAACGTTCTCATGACGTTGGCACTGAATGAACAAGTTAGCGGAGGGTAGTGAAGTTGTTCTAGAATGCGCTACAAAGAGTTCATACAATACAATAGGTGGCATGTGTTCATTTACCAGCATGGAAGAAATAAAATTAATTATTGGTTGATTTAAATATTAGTTAAAGGTAAGTAATGATTTTAAACCCATTACTGTTTTTTTATTCCATAAATAAAATTAACATCTCACCGTGTCCCCTTTATTTAAATTTATAAATAAATATTAATTATAATTGAATAATATTTATAGTATGAAATTGAATTTACCAACCTTTTTTCTTATATAGAGAACACAAAAAAAAAATATTTTTAAATATTTATTAAAATCGTCATTTAATCATCTATTTTAATTACTATATTATTTTTTATCTTTAATGTTTCATTTTAAGTTAAAGGAACATTTAACACTTGATAGAATAATTATTTTGATCCTTATAAAATCTTTTATTTTAGAATAATAATTACATGTTAAATAATAATTTTTATTTATAAAATAAATTTTTTATCTTAAAATAAAATGTTAGAATTAAAGTATTCCTTTTGGAACACTTGGGACCAAGCCGGATTAATTATTCCAAGCCTCGATTACCTCACAGCTCTGTCACCGAACGATTTAGAATCTATCTCAATGTTAAAGCACGTGGCATTGATATTCAACTTCTCTAGTAGATTTCTAATTCTTACAACACGTGGCGATCAGAAGAGAACTTTCACTTATGCTCAACGAAAATGTCACGTAACACCAACATTCCCTCCATCTATATCATCCCCCACAGTTCTACTGCAGTGGAAAGCGGAAACATGCAAAATAATAGTACCTCATTGAATTTTTTTTAAACTAACCATGGTTAAACACTCCCTAGTTTCCACTGCCAGCCTCTGCTTTATAAGCCAATCAAACGTTGCCGGAGTTAATGCATACAAATCTATCAAATCCAAAGACGCCATTAAAGTCAAAGCAAGAGAGATGATGGTAGGAGAAGCCTGTTATCCCAATCCAACGGTTCATATTCCGCCTTGGCCTTATATCGATGATGATCTGACGGCGGAAAACAACTTCGGCGATATCAGCAACCCGTTCCTTCTCCGGGAAGCGTTAGCGTCGCTTCAATGGTACTCGTCGGCGGAGGAACCGGATGTCGAGTTGGATTCTGTGTTCTCCGGTTTGGAAAGCCCGGATTCTCCGGTTGATGCTTACTCGTGCGATCATTTCCGGATGTTTGAGTTTAAGGTCAGGCGGTGCGTGCGTGGCCGGTCGCATGACTGGACCGAGTGTCCGTACGTGCATCCCGGCGAAAAGGCTCGCCGGAGAGATCCGAGGAAGTTTCATTACTCGGGTACGGCCTGCTCCGATTTCAAGAAAGGGAACTGCCGGAAAGGGGACTCTTGCGAGTTCGCTCATGGGGTTTTCGAGAGCTGGTTACACCCGGCTCGTTACCGTACTCTTCCGTGTAAAGACGGGTCGGGTTGTCGGCGTCGGGTCTGTTTCTTTGCTCATACTCCGGAGCAGCTTAGGGTCGTCAACTTTGCTGGTTCACATGATAGTTCACCGGCTGAGTCTTCTCCGCCGGTTTCGCCTATGGCACAGTTGCCTAGTTCGGCGCCATCTATTAACTCTATGGTTGCTTCTTTGAGGAACATTCAGCTCGGTAAAGTCAAGTCTTTGCCTTCATCCGGTTTCGGGTCTCCAAGAGTGACCCGACCCTGTTTAAGCAGCCTACCCAGCACTCCGACCGGAAACGTGGCCCGTCCTGGGTTCGGGTACTTGGATTTCTGGGATGAAAGCCGTAGAGAAGAGCAGGTGATGGAAAGAATCGAATCGGGAAAGCATTTGCGTTCAAAAATGTTCGAGAAAATGGGTAAAGAGAACTCGTTGGAGCGGGTTAACTCGGGTCAGTGTGACGGAGATCCTGCTGTGGATTGGGTTTCGGACCTGGTGAATTGAGCAAGCTCGGTCGAGCTAAATCTTCTTTGTCACTTCTCTGTAAATAGTTCCACAAGGATAACTGAAGAAAAATATAATTATAATATTGTAAATTATGAAAATTCTCAAAATTTAAAGTATATTTTGGGATATTTAGATCATCAAGCCGGAGATTATTATATGTAAATATGAATATTGTTCCCTGCAGAATGAAATTTATATGAACTTCGTCGGAATTAATTTAATTAAAAAAAAGCAGCGGCTTGAGCTTTTGTTCAAGTATCAGACTGGTTTTATTTTAAGGCTTAAGGGTCAACTTCATGTTTATTAAGCATTAAACATAATTAGCTTTGACAAAGATGATGATGACGGTGAAGAAAGATTCGGGCACTCTTAAGAAGATCGTTTGTCTGATAACTCATCCAAGTTTGACATGTTTTTGGGTTTGTAAGAATATGATCAAAACATGATTTATTTAGATCATAAATTATTTCTTAAATCATAAATTACTAAATAGGTGAACAGCATTCATATGTAGGTGGTTAAACAAGGTACTTATCAAATTTACTCCAAAGCATCCAATAAGATTGGCAACAACTATGATTTGTACTCCTGGGAAATTTGAATCGAACAAGATCGGCACCTAATCCGTCGAAAACAACAATAAGCCAAAAATCCGAAGAAACAACGAGTCTCACAATTCGAAATAGTAAAACTAACCAAAACTCCAACAGCCGGATGTAAACCTTTTTATGAAACGATGCAGATTTTCTTGAAGTAGAGATCAGTGGATCACTCGTCGTCGTCGTCAATGACCTTGGTGCCCAACCCTTTGAGTCCTTCGGCTGGGATTTCGGCGACGGTTACTAGAGAGTAAAGCTCTTCCTTTGCATCTTCGTCGTCGTTTCTCTTCCGAGCAATGCGGACCCTAATCCTTCTGGGGACACTTCGGATCCCTCTGCTCCAGATGTGCTTGTTAAGCTTGACATCAACTCTCACGTCCTTGGTCCCCATGGCCTTTTCTGCGAACTTCCTTATCTCCTTTATTGCCTTGGGAGCTTTCTTCTTGAACGTGCTGTTTCAGATATTACCAAGCGGGTTGTTAGAACATGAATCAGTCAACGGTGTAAATGAAACAACTATACTTTATTACTACGCCGATTAGATTTGGGAAAAGATTGAATCCTACGTTATTTAGGATTGTAAATGAGACGAGACAGATCGTGAAATACTCAAGATCAACTCAATCAAAGCTCAATAATACTCGAGCTCAAGCTCGACTCGAATTCTTAATGAGCCTAAACAAACTATTTGATACTCAGCTCGAAAATCTCACGAGCAACTCGAAAATGTAATATATTAAGATTTTATTTTCTAAAAAAAATTAAATTATTAATAATATTAACATTTATATTTTTGTTTTTTTAAATGTAGTATAAATTTTCATATTTTTAAAGATCTTGCTCAAGTTTGAAATTGAGCTTCAATCAAGTTAAGTTTTTTTTCGAGCCTTTACGTGATTCATCTCATGGTTTTGAGTTCGAGTCGAGCTTGAGGATTTCATGAGTTTTAGAGTCAAGTCGAGCTCAACAATACTATAGCTCAACTCCGCACGTTTACAGCCCTATCAGTTGATCATTTTCGATTCAAGATCAAACTCAAGCATAAATGTTTACCAGGTAAATGAGCTTAGTGAAACCAAACAATGTGAACTCGCGCAATTCAATATTTAATTAGAGATAAAAAATAACATGATTAAAACTATTTCAAACAATGATACGCTGCAACAAAATTTAAAATCAGATGTAGAAAAGATTTAATTCACGAATCTATAGCTTTTAACAGATAAAGAGTACCATTAATCCTATACCTTTCAATCTCCATTTCTTATTCCTATGAAAGAAACATTACGTAGCCAACTAAAATCATGAGTATAATCACGATAAATACGCAGAAAAATCGAGGTCAATTTAACAAGAGGAATGGAAACAAAAAACGTAATAAACCAAACAAAAATCAAATTTAAAACTAAATAAACAAAGCGATCAAAACAAAGAATGGAGATCGTTAGAAAATAAGAGAATGGTAAAAAAAAAAAAAGTTACCAGCCATGGAGACGCTTGTGAAGGTTGATAGTGTATTCTCTGGACACTACCTCTTCCTTCCTTCCCCTTGTTTTCTCAACCATTTTTGAAGCACAAAAAGCACAGCAGAAAGCTACAATAGAGAAGAGAGGCAACAAAAAGAAGGCACGGAAGCTTAGCAGAATATATTGATGCCTGAATCTAGGGTTTGTAAGAGTTCGATAGTTTTGGGTTTTTAAACCTAACCCTAAACCATCTCTTTAGGACCATGCCCTTCCATTTAGGCAGATGTAGATCTTTAATCCAATGTATAGGCCTAACCCAAACAATTTTCTTTGTTTTCTTTATTTATGTGCCTTTTTTTGTGTCTTTTTAATAATACTTCGTACTTCATTAGAAGTTTTTTGTTCAATGGATTTGAAGACAAATACTTATATTTTTAGGTTAACTTAATTGAAAAAATAAATTTAATCGATTATTATCCAATCAAAATTAAATAAACTAAATTTTAATTTTTTGATATTTAACTTGATTAATTCATGTTTTTATCTTTTTATTAGTATTAAAAAAATTCAAATTAAATGTATAAGTAATCATCAAACTTATTTTTATTAGATACAAGAGTTTAACCAATTTAAATTAAAAAAATTATTTTGAAAATATATCAAAGTTAAATTTTGAGTCTCAAAATTCACTCTATCTTGAACTGAGGTGTGCGGACATAGAAATTAAGTGGATGGTACGTTGGTTTTATCGGAAGAAATATACGAGAATAATTTAAGATTTTTTTCTCAAAATAACATAATGGTCTCATTAAAAATACTTTTCATAACTTGATTTAATCGAAATAATCAATAAAGCGAAAGGATAAAAAAGTGCACGTTTAGCACAAATCCTAAACTTCCAAATTACTCTTAATTTGTAATTTGATTAATTTGTTTGTATTGATGGTGTTCATGTTCGACAATCGGATAACGGTGAATACATAGTGAGAGAAGTTGAGTCTGATGAAGAACTGTGAATAAGTTCTTCCATATGTGTTCATTTCTATTTTTCTTCTTCTCTCTCTCCTCATTTCTTCTTCTTTTTCTTTTTTTCTCTTGTTGACATTTTATGTTAATTATGTAGATAATGACAAATATAAGAGTTGTATGTCTTTTGAAGTATATGATAATTTAGGGTAGGCATTAAATTTCATAAATAATTATGTCTTTAATTAAAAACATAATTTTCTTGTCGAATGCTTGTCAATTAATTAATATCCTTGTACACAAATTTGTTGAAAACTTGAAACTAATATTGACTCAAAGGGTAATTGAGACTCCTTTTAATTGCTTATGTTTACAAGTGAATTGGATCAAATACTTAAAAATGTTTACTTTCCCGAAGTTCATTAGACTGAAAGATGATGTTGTAGGCATCCTGACTAACACATGTGAACTAAGAAATTAAAAATAACCAAAGCTTATCCAAAAAACTTAAGAGAAGAGAATATTTTTATTTATATAAAATACTATTATAATACCATACACTTACCCTACTATTTTTCTATTCCCAACCTCTAAACTCTCTTTGTCTAACTTACACTTTATGCACTTTTTTCACCTTTTTTATTTTTACGAAAATGGTAAAACTCAATCCTATTTATAGATTTTAATGGTCATTAGATTGTTGACACGTGCCAATATTTTAGTCATTTAACACTAAAATATCTAGATTTCTATATAAATACTTATAGACATCTATAAGTTCTATATTATTCTAGACTATTCTTATATATATATATATATATATATATATATATATATAGACAGACACACACTAAATAACTATAATTTACATTGTCCTTTAGTACTAACATTGAATATAAAACCAGGTGTCTTGTTGCGGTAATCAAACTCAAATTATAATTATTTTCCCCTGAATGGATCAAACCTTCGAAGTATATATACTATGTCTTTATTATGGAATTATCAGGTCAAAATTAATATGATTACGTAGATAATTATATTTTGGGTAAACAATGCGGCTAACCCCTTATATTTTTTGGTCATTGGTTAAAAAAAAGTAATTTTGATCTCTTATTTTATCGGTCCGTTCGATGTTAGTCCCTTGGCCATTAACCCATTAATGGAAATTTGAGTAACGTTTGTCTAAAATGGCCATGTATGTATGTATGTATGCATGTATGCTAGTCACACTGTGTTAGACATGCATTCATGATTCATTTATGGCCACCTAAAATGCTATTGAGGACCTAGGTTTTGATGGACTGAAGAATATATATTTTTGTACGTGCTTTGTTCATTTCTCAATTTATTGAAGCAAACGCCATGCATGTATATATGTATGCAATCCGAAATCAATTTTTGCTAACAGAGAAGCAAAAACTTGTTCGATGTGAACACATATTTCATTCACAAAAGGTTGCTATTGAACTTAAATTTCATTGAATGGATGATTAGGTTTCGACTACAAGCACATTATGCAATCCGAAAATTTTCTACAATGTCTTGATGCAGCAGTTAATAGTAAATCCAAAGTCAATTCAAGGGTTTTCTAAGGCTTTACCAGTAATCACCACAAGAGCATTTACCATCCTTGAAATGATGAAATCGCTTGTTGTCCCTCACAATCAACTCTCTTCCAACAATCTTTGACATGATTTTGATTGCATTGTGGCAGTCTCCACAAATTCTCAGATTCTTAATGATCCTAAGAGGTGTCCTTGCCGGAGTACTAATAAGACCATATGCGATGGCCAACCGCTCGCTATGGTATTGCAAGGCCTGCTCTTTCGCCTCTTCATCAATGTCATGAAGCACATACCTTGTGTCGGGAATGTACCCGGCTTCCCTCATCTGCCCATTCAAGCCTTTGAGCTTCTCACTTCCTTCTCCCTTGAAAGGGTTCATACACCTATATTCACTCACTCTGTTCTTCTCCTCAATCATGTTAATCATAGAAAGTTTCTTCTTCGGTGGTGCTTGGAGTTTATTCTCACAGCTTATAGAAGGATCAAATTCAAGCAACAACTCCTCAATACGATCTTCAAGGTCAATATCTCCATGAATTTGTGCAAAACCCCGAAACGCCTGCCAAATATCCTTCGTCGGCTCGAGCGGCATATTCTCAATGAACTCCACAGCCTCATTCAAAAGCCCAGCTCTCCCGAAAACATCAATAACACTGATGTAATGTTCAATCCCCAGAGCAACCTTATATTCATTCTTCATCAATTCAAAGTACTTCAGTCCCTCCTCAACCTTGCCTACACTGGCACAAGCTGATAAAACAGCAAGAAAAGTCTCGTTGTCCGGCCGAACTCCACGGTTTCTCATTTCTTCAAACAACAAAAGCCCATCATCTCCACTTCCGTTCACCGCATACCCATTTATCATCACGTTCCAAGAAGCTAAATTCCGCTCATGCATTTTATCAAACACCCTGCGTGCATCTCTCACACTAGCGCATTTCCCATAAACGCCTATCAATTTATTGTTCAGTTCGATATCACCCGCAAACTTCGATCTTCTCAAGAATTCATCAACTCTTTTGGATAACTCAAGGGAATTCGTATCCGCACAAGCATCCAGTAAAGCCATGAAATCATTATAATCCGCTAAAACGCCCTGACCCATATAATCTAAAGCTTCCTTAACCTTGTCTTCTTTGCATAACCTCATCAAATCCACAATAATACTCTGAAATGTCGGATTTTCAGTAGATGGGTGGTTTCCATCTCGGTTTTCAGTGTTGAATTTACGAGGCTTAGGCCGATTTTTGGCGGTTTGGTGGTGAGTGGTGGCACCACGGGGACGATAAGTCCTGGTAGAGCTGTTGCTTTTGGTGTTATCGGATGCCGAGCAAAGAGGTTCTAATTTAATGGGCTTTCGAGAAAAACAGAACTTCATGTTGTTGTTGAAAGCGAATGAGAGTTTGGTCGTGATTGAAGACTTCAAGTGGGAAGAGAAGCTAATGGAGTTTCCCGTGTTTTGAAGGGGCACTAAAGACTCCATTGTTGTTTTGCTTGCAGGGCCCTGGATGTTAATACATTTATGATATTTTCTCGAACACTACGTCGCCCAAAAATAATAGTTTAAGTACCTATGTTAAAATTTGCCAAAAAAGTACCTCTATTAAAAAAAGCCTTTTTTAAAAAAAATTAAAATAAAAAAAAGTCAATTTAAAAAAAATAAGGTTCAGGTATGGACAGTTTTTTTAAAGGGTGGGGTTACGTCAGATTCTGGTAGAGGGTGAAAAATTTTAATCTGACTAGACCCAAAGATTATAATATAAATTTTTTAAAAATATTATTTTTAATTAAATCCTAATTTTATATCGAGTCGAATCAGATCAAATCAAATTTATATTCTAAAAATTATGGTAGAAGATATAAAATTTTGGGTTAAGTACGAGTAGAGGATACACATTGTTGGATCGAGTTGACCAAAATCCAATCCTAAACCGACCGGTTGCCATCCTACCTGTTATCCAATCATATTGCAACACTTTTCTTTATTTTCTTTCTTATCGACAGCTTTAGTCGCCGTTAGAGATGACTACAAATTGGATCAGACCAATTGAATCATTCAGTTCATAATCTGTTGAATTTGGATCAAAATTATCAAATTTAATCACCATTGATCCTCAATGTGCGATGATTTCACGTATCGATTATAATAAACTCAGATTAAATATAAATGGTTAGAGACTCATCAACTAGAGTAAAATTGAACATTATACAGAGGAATTCATAGATTAAATAAAAATGGTTACAAGAACAACTAGAGTAAAATCACATTTTTTACTGCATTATAATCGTTTACTCGTCGTTTTTCGAAGCCGTTATCCATTATAGAACATTTTTTTCGATCATATTCGGACCCGATTATCGGACAAAAGAAATGGGTATCTACTCGAAAAACTAGACTACTACAAGAGCAAAATCAGAGGGTAACTCTATTTTGGATGGAAACAATCAGCATCCAGCTAATACAACTTGTATTTCAATTGCAATCATCTATGTCTAACACCTTTATTCGATATAATTCTGCATCATGAGTATAGAACTACAAGAAAATACTAAGAAAATGCTGAATATACCCGTATCCGACACTTAAATCCCGGGGTCCGAGTAAAATAGAGCCAAGTATATGAGAGAACAGACTGCAATTTTCAATGCCATAGCATGCGAAAACAGAACAACTTTGAAGTATACTAACAACAAACAAAACTAGATCGAATTATTCAAATGATATAATCTGACCATTCGGAGATGAATGAAGTGTGGTCCATGGATTCTCCGGGGCATTCTTCATGCCTCGACGGTTTCTCCTTCCCTCCGACAAGCCTTGCGGGGTTTCCTACAGCTGTGGTCCGTGGTGGCACATCGATCAGCACCACTGACCCTGCCCCAATCTTTGCTCCCTCCCCAATCTTCACATTCCCTAATATGGTTGCACTGGCCCCGATCAAAACTCCATCCCCGATCTTCGGATGCCTATCCCCACAGGCCTTCCCAGTCCCACCGAGGGTAACATGATGCAAAATTGACACATTGTTGCCAACAACCGCTGTTTCTCCTATCACCACACCGGTGGCATGATCGAACAAAATCCCTTTCCCGATCTTTGCAGCAGGATGTATATCAACGGCGAAAACATCGGAGATTCGAGAGTGTAATGCCAAGGCTAGCGGCCTGCGTGACTGAGCCCACAGCTTGTGCGCAACTCGGTGAGCCTGTAGTAACACAAGTTCCGGATATTTTTTAAAAGAAGTTACAAATCTCATCAATTTTCTACTCTTACGAACAAAATTCAATGCTTTATACAAATTCCTTTTCATAGCATTCAATTAACAAGAAGAAAATCAGATTAGATTCAAGTCAATCCGGAATTTTCAACCTAAAATTAAGCATGCGCAAATTTTAATGACTGACACAGAAAACTTAAAATTGGAAACAGATAACTGAATAAGGTTCAATTTTCCTAAATTTAATAAGAAGAAATTGAGAAAATAAATTTACCTGGCATGCCAAGAATCCTTTGTAATTGAGTAGGCAATGAGAGAACGAAACGCAAGCAGGATCCCTAACGCGAGCCGCACGGAGATCGGCGACGGCGGCGGCTCGAAGCGAAGGATCGGAGGAGAAAGTGTTGAGGAAAAGGTCGTACAGGAGCGTAGACAGGAGCGTGGAGGAGCATAGCTTGTTTCCGAGATGGAAGGAGAGCGATCGCTCCAGAGAGGAGTGAGAGAGGATCGTCGAGTAGAGGTAGCTAGCTAGAGCCGGCTCCAACTCGGCGTCGCGGCGTGCCTCGGCTTTTATCTGAGCCCACACCCACGCCTCGTCTTCTTCCATGGGTGTTTCCGTCGCTTGAGGAACCTGCGGACAAGAGACCGGGGAAGGGTACCGGAGTTCTCCTGCCGGCATTTTTTGGCGACGAAGAATTGCAGGGCGGAGATTTTACAGTGATGGGATACGTTTGGAAATCGTTCGCTTCAGCCTTTATGAATTGCATCGTTTCACGTCTTCTTCTGGGGTTGCTGGAGCTGACACGTGGAAGATTCACTCCAATCGTGGACCGGTCTATATGTAATTTTCTTTAAGAAATAAGAACAGTGAAAAATAAAGATTTTTGCTGACATTTTGTGATTTTTTTAATACAATAAAAGCAATATAAGGTAAATCAACTACATCATGTCGATTAAAGTAGAAACTTAGAAGTCGATTCCAAAGGGGCATTAGGATATTCATGTGGTGTAACTTGTAGCAACACCAAACTAAGTTGACGACTCCACGCTAACTTCGCGAGCTGGTCCGCAATTAAATTACACTCACGAGGCACATGATCGACACAGATTTTTGAATTTCGTTGACAGAGATCAATTAGTTGTGGCACTGAGGAAACACCTCTGGCTCCAGAGGCGTTCTTCAGTAAATCAACGGCCTCATTATAGTATGTCTCAACTTTAATCCTCCAAACTCCCAAACTCCATGTTACCTGTAAACCTTCGGCCAAACCCCATAACTCTGCATTCAAGGCTGTGCAACCCCCAATCATCTTCATGAACCCTGAAACCCAATTACCCAAATAGTCTCGAATTATCCCGCCACACGTAACAATTCCTGAATCTGACCTACAAGACCCATCCGGAGGACATTCCCAACGTCTAGACCTATCTACGAGTAAACACGTTATGGCTGTAACCTCCTTTCTTTTCTCCCTAGCTCGTGAAGCCCTGGTAGTCAAACACCAACTTTCATGGAGGACACTTTCAGGAAAATAACAAATCAAAGATCAAAGTATTCCTTCTCTTCCAAAGGCACCAAACAATATTCTCAAATAAAAGCTCTCAATCCACTGCAACCAATGGAAAAAGAGTATTACTTCCTAAATTCTTCGCAACCCAGACAACCATGTTAAGCTGCAGAAACTCCCCATTAGCTATGGTTTAATGACAGAATTCCACGTTCCTTGAGCAACCACACACTCCCTAATGATATGACTGGTTGAGAGCAATGCTTCCTCCTTCTTTACTTCTTAATGTTGCGGCTGTAAAGCCGCCATTGCCGAATGGGGGTGGGTATTCCCGGCTGGAAAAGGGATAGCAAAAGACGGTTTACAACGAAGTGCGCTTATTTGCAGAATTTACCAGTTGGTGTTCACGATGAACGGCCAATATGGAGTCTTATTGTAAAGTACTCAAGTTTACCTAGAGTTAAATCACTGCTTTGGACCCCTTTTAAAATCAGCTTCTATCGAATGAAGAAGAGTGCGAAGGTGCATGGCATCGGACCCGAGTTGTGCAATCTGTGGGGGCAGCGGTGGAGATATTTTTGTGATTTTTATACATATCATAATGTACTTTACTAATATTTTTCAGGATTGTATAACTATTTATCTATAGAAAATCATTTAAATTTAATAATAAAAGAATGTTATCATGGATTAGGGGTTTTACGGGTTCTGTGTTGTTCATAAAACTTATTCGGTTTAGATTTTTTTTAAAATAGTTCGATTTAATAGACTATTTTCCATCCTTGTCATGTAAGAAATTCGTACATATTTATGACAAAATCAAGTGTTGGGACAATAAATATGTCACTAGAGAACATACAAGATCTCTCTTCCACTCGTTTACGATAGCATTTATAGTTCTCTGCATTTTTTTTTTGTAATTTTTTTTCTCCACCAAATATAATATTGTCGTCACGATTTACATAATTTTTTATCCTTTTTATTTTTTTACAAAAGGCAAACAATAAAGTTACATCATACCACTTGATTGTGATAATTTCAGGAAAAAAATTCATTAAGACTTGGTAGTCTAAAGTATTTAAAAGGTTGAATTGAGTGGAAAAAAATTAAAAACTTAATTTGATTTTAAAAATTCGAGAAGTTCAGGTTGTTGATTCTTTTTCACCTTTTACCTTACCTTAGGAACCATAATTTCAATTTCCCTGCACACAAAATTCAAGGGACCGGATTAAATTAAACTTTTGCACAAATCAATAGAAGAACGAGAAGCATTATATTTTGTTAAAACTTCGCAATCTTCCAAAATTGGCCTTTTCAGTATGCCATTTTTCACTCTGTTACAAACCTCACCAAACAAAATTTTATTTTATAACATTTAGAAGGTAAAAAAAAGGGATGAGAAGAAAGAAAAAAGAGGAGGGGGGTATTACAGAATGGAAGCTATTTTACAAAAAGGTCATCTGTTAAAGTTTTAATGTGATGACCCTTAACTGAGAGGTAACATCATATGTCAGGGTTGGCTTCTTTCCTATTCCTTCTTACAACAGGTTTTGGTTTGTCAGAAATTGCCATTGTAAAAGAGCAGAACAAACGAAGAGCTTTACACTAGAAAAGAACCTGTTCTGGTCACTCGGTCAACTTGCTCTCGCAAATCTAGGACAGTTCTAACTATAAGAACCCCACCAAGAGGATGCTGAAAGCCTGAAATTTTGCATTTCCTTTTGTTTTCTTGTTCACTTTTTTTATATTAATATCATGAATCATGAGAGCCTTGGACCAGCAAAGTAATACGCTTAGAACTGTCCATGCGGAAACTATTGCTTTGCTTACCGCTGTCCGAGCGGTTATTTTGCTTACCACTGTCCGAACGAAGACTATCTCCTTTAAAACCAATCTGAGAGGAAATCATGTAATAACCTCAAGAAACTTGTTCCAGCAAGAAATTAGGTAAAAGATTACAAGAATGACAACCCTCTAATTCAGTTTTATCTTAATGGAACTTATATCTCAAAAGGCGGATTACCTCGCTCTGACTATCGGAGGGGAACCACCGCAGGAGCACGCCAAGATGAACAACAGCTGGAATGAGCTTGAAAAGCAATGGTGTAGTCACCTGCACGTTTATGTTATGTTCAATGTCATTTTAACAGCGAAAGAACTTCCTGCAGTTTATATTATGTTCAGTGCCATAAATAACTCCATGAAATTGGGTGGTTGCAGCTAAATCAGCTACCTAAAAGTGAAGGTTTCCAAACTGACATATAAATGGTTAAATGATTGTGTTGTTTTTTATAGTCATAAAATATTGTTCTTTTAACTTATAAGTTGGAAGAAGCTGCTACAGACATTAATTGCATTTGAGCAGGTTCTAACTATCAGTTGCATTTACGGGACTCGAACATTTAAAAAGAAAAACTATAGAGATTCTTTAAAGTAAATACTTTTTGAAAATTAATATAATGACAAATGGGAAAGCAAGACAACAACAGTTGGCATACCAAACTAAGAGCCGTTGTGCCCAAAAGTAGCAGGTAAAGTTTACCCTGCAGCAATGACAAAAAAATCAGCAATATTATCAAGGAAGACATGAAACAAGAAAAGCAAAATAAAAGAACCGAACTAATTGTTTTGAAAAAAATTGTATGGTCTAATTAACAGCAAAGTATTGGCACACAACCTCAACTAGATGAAGATTAGAAGCGCGGCTGAGAAGAACAAAAGCAAATTCTCCAATTTGGGCCAAAGACATCCCGACCTACAAATTAAGTTGAAAGAACTAAGAGAACTTTACAAAATGGGCATGAATGCCTAAGTAGAAGGCTCGGAACCTACAAGAAGTGAAGTTTTATTGCTGTATCTAAATCCTTTGACAACTGCTGCAACTACCATTGTTTTAATAACAATCACCAATATTACAGCTGATAGCAATATGTCGACGTGATTCCAAAGGAAATGTACATGAATTAACATCCCAATACTGGCAAGGAAAAGAGCAGCAAAGAAATTGCGAATGGGCTCCACCTGCATAATAGAAATAGAGAATCAAGGCAGAATCTTGCAAGTCAAGTATTAATAAGGCACCGCCATTGTGTTGATGCAGTTTCTTAGTTCACAGTAAAATCAACAAAACTGAATGAAAAGGATTCACAATTTTGTAATTTGGTAATCATATTACTATAATGTTCTCAAACATGCATCACAAACCAAATTAGACTAAGGGACAATATGTTCCGGTAAGCAGAAAATATCAACTAAATTAGAAAAAGACTACAAGAAAAGCATAACAAAGTAAACAGACATGGGAAGTTCTGGACAGGGTACCAAAGAATTAGAACTCTTACTTGTTCAAGTGTATGCTGGCCCAGATCAGTGGTTGATATCATCACTCCAGCAGCAAACGAGCCCAGCTCAAGACTTAGACCCAGCTTATCACTACACTGGAATGCCACAATAAGTTATGTTATGTATAGACATGCACATGTAAGTAGAGTGCTAAGTGACTGAAAGAAACATGGATCTTATTGGTTAAAAAATGTTGTAAGAATGAGCAAGAACAAAACGTACAACAACTAATGCAACAAAATGAGACAGATCATTCTGATGATTATAATGGACAATTTAATCATAATGCAAGAAATAAGAAGGAAATGAACGAACCCAAGCAACAAGCAAGCAAAACGCCACAGATGCCAACTGATAGAGCTCATTGGTCTGTGAAAATAAATATGTCAATATCTACAAAGATTAAAAAATTGAACCAAATAATGCATATTACCTGTGATGATAAGCTTATCATAAGCCTGAGAAACCACGGCAAACAAGTCCGAGATAATACACTTAAAATGGCCAGAAATGAAATTAAAATCACCAACCTGAAAATTGAAAGAGAAAATTCAGACTACTAATACAGATGACCTTCGCCACAACTACATCGAAAAAAGCTGATCCGACACTTTTTCTCACTTACGATTTAGTCATGGATAATACACCTTGAAGAATGCCAGAACTGCCACCTAGAACTGGAAGTAAAGCAAACAGCAAGCCCACAGCACAGTCCTGCAAATCCATGATAGTTCAAAATATCATGCTTGTTAAGCATCATCTACGCTCAAGTCAAGTAAATTAAACTATGATAGTTAAAAAATTCATGCTGGCTAAGCATCTATGCTCAAGTCAAGTAAATATTCTTTTAATTGATGTGGCAACCAAGAAAATAAA